AACTCTAAGCTGTTCCGAATTCTCCGTTTCCTCCTCTGAAAAAAGGCCCCCATGGAGTCCCTTCTTTCAAGGAGAGCCAATGGGAACAAGGTCAAGGTCACCTTCCTTGCCTGCTCCCCGCCCCCCTACCCCCACCCCGTAGGAGCTGCCAGGGGCTTGGCTTTACCTTGGCCTTTTATTTATTTATTACTCATTTATTTTAATTTTATACCTTTATTGCTTTCAGAGAGGAAGGGAGAGGGAGAGAGAGAGGGAGAGAGAAACATCCACGATGAGAGAGAATCATGGATCGGCTGCCCCCTGCACGCCCCCCAGTGGGGATCGAGCCCGCCACCCGGGCCTGTGCCCTTGACCGGAATCGAACCCGGCAGCCTTAGCCCTTTCGAATCCCACGGAAGACAGATCCAGGCACCCCACAAGGCACCGATGATGAGTGAGGCTTGAATACGTCCTTCCCAAAGGTGTTTACGTTTTAGCCAAAGATTAACCTGCGTGCCCTATGAAAGAATCTCGGAGGATTCAGCCACGGGGAGGCGGAGAGAGAACTCTGCAGAGAAAGAGCGTGCTCCCAGCATTCCCACGGCCCCCACCTGCGGCTCCGTGTACCTGTCCTTCCCCACATCCCCCTTTTAAACAGAAAATCCAGAGGCACGCTTTCTTTCCCCTGCGGATTTGTGAAATACAGTTTCAGCATCTTTATCTTTTAAAAAAATATATAGTTATTTATGAAACTGTCTTCTCAGAGGATCGGTGAGAGGAAATACTTCGTCTTACTCAACTCCGTGTTCATCTAACGCCCCTCTCCCTGCCCGGCGGCCCCTCTCCCTGCCCGGCGGCCCCTCTCCCTGCCCGGCGGTGCTCAGAGCAGGAGCAGCGAGTGTTTGTTACATAGTTACACTCCCCGCAGCACGTGCAACATTGTTTCTCAGCGTCCGGCTGGGGACAGGGGCCGCGGGCATGGCTTTTCCTGGATGAGTGTATTTCTGTGGCTCGGCTGGCGTGGCTCAGTGGCCGAGCGTCGACCGAGGCACCAGGAGGTCAGGGTTTGATCCTGGGTCCCCACTCGGGATTCTACAGCTGAAAAAAATCGCATCTTCCAGAGAGACCGACGGCCCCGCCCAGGCCCACGGGCATCGAGCACCGAGCGGCGAAGATGCAATTCAAATCCAGGCCGGCGGGGCCCAGAGTTGGGCCAGCCCCTCCGGCCCATTCCCTGGCCTTTCTCTGCATCTGAAAGTGTCATTTCCCTTTTCACCGTCAGAGGCCTCACCTGTCCTCCTAAAGGCGAAGGTGTCACCGTGAGGACCCCAGGCGGGTGCTGTTGGCAAGGAAAACACCCCCTGAGGCCCGATGGGCGAACACCCAGGTGCGAACACCCCTGGCCCGAGGGTGCTAACTGTGCCCTGTGCCGCTCGCTCCACGGCCCACCGCCAGCCGCCTCTACATTAGCGAGAGAGGCCTGGAGGGCCGAGAGCCGGGGGCGCGAGGGTCTCAACCATCAGCCACACACGCCGGCGCTCCATCGGCGTATTTGGGTCCGCTCAGACAACCCCGGTTTCTTTTTTTTGTTTCGTTTTGTTAACCCGCCCCCGAGGATATGTTCCCACCGATTTGTAGAGAGAGCGGAAGGGACGGGGAGAGACAGAGAGAGAGAGAGACATCTGTGTGAGAGAGACACGTCGACGGGTTGCCCCCCGCACGCACCCCACCCAGGGCCAGGCATCGAGCCTGCAACCGAGGTCCGTGCCCTTGGCCGGAATCGAACCCCGGACCCCTCCATCCATGGGCCGACGCTCTATCCACTGAGCCGCACCGGCCAGGGCCAGACAACGTCTGTTTCCACGCACGAAGTCCAGAGCGGCGTGGGGCTGACGTGGAAACACCTTTTCCCAGCGTGTGGCCCTC